TTGGCAGTAGTGGGAAACTGCCCGGGGGGGGGCACACCTCATCAACAAGGGTACCCACATAATGAACATCTGTATACCTAACCCTGAATTGTACCCCATATCTTTAAAATAAAAAATTAGAAAAAAAAGAAAAGACAAATGGGGATAATACTACCTGTATCAGAGGGTTGTTTTGAGGATTAAATGAGGTGTGTAAAATATTTTGCACAGGACTTGGGAGATACATTATACACATGTACTATTAGGATATGTAGTGATGCAGTTGTTTTGCCATAAAATAAAATAATGTGTGGAAATGCCTGGCTCAGTAGCTGCTGGCTCCCCTTTCCTTTTCCCCTGATAATCTCCCAGGTATTTTTGCATTTCTCTTCTCTACATTTTAATATCAGAGGAGTCAGAGGGCCATAAAAGGAATACTGGTGGGTCCCTAGTATGTGTTGAATTACAGGCTGGGAAAGAGAGGCACAGTTACTTCGTGAGATGTAGGATGCTAGAGGCAGAATATGAGGGGTGGTGCTCCTTTTCCAGCAGGCTTTAAATTCTGCTTTTTAGGACTTAGTCCTCCTGAGGGCCTTCTCTTTGAAAGGTACTTGCCATATCCTTTTCATGCATTATCTTTTGTTTAATAACTTTCTGAATATATCTCCATTTGTAACTTCAAGAGTCAGCATTTCCTCACTGGGTCTGCCCAGTTCCAGAACTCATGTGCTTTCGTCTCCACCAAATAAACCAACTGAATGAGGGAAAAAAATCCACCTAAATGAACTAATTTTAATTAAACTGGGATCAGGCACGGTAGCTCACACCTGTAGTCCCAGCACTTTGGGGCTTGGTGGGAGGACTGCTTGAACCCAGCCTGGGCAACTTAGTGACACCTTGTTTCTATAAAAAAATTAGCTGGATGTGGTGGGACACGCCTATAGCCCCAGCTACTTGGGAGGCTGAGGCAGGAAGATCACTTGAATCCAGGAGTTTGAGGGTACAGTGAGTCATGATCATGCCACTGTCTGGGTGACAGAGTAAGACCTTGACTCAAAACCAAAAATTAAACTGGCCATAAAACTTGGAACTATAAGCAGATAAATGCCATTGTGTAGCTGTTAGATGTATTATACCATCAAAATATTTATCCATACCTAAAGGAGACACATCTTAAAAAGACAAAGTATTGTCTTAGTCTTATTTCATAAGCTGTTTTCCTGGATGCATTCCCAGAAAAGTTTTCTAGAAAAGAAGGGATATGAAAGAGAAGAGAAGAAGGTAGAGAGAATAAATGAAATATAATTAATTGGTAGATTTTGGCTGTTTTATGTAGACTTTTAATCCTGGGTTTAGGGTTGAAGAACACAATACTAGAAGGAAAATCCAAGGCTGGATACAGTGCACTTATCCACTTTGCTGGTATCCTTTCATTTTGTCCATTCTCAGTGCATGATATTCTGAAAGTTACACAGCATTTGGCCCTTGGGAATCCATAGTTATTCCCTTGAATTAGAAGGACAAGATTTCATGTTTTCCTTATCTCTCCTTTCTGCTAGGGGATTCTTGTCGAAACGTCCTGATGTGGCTGGACCACCGGGCGGTCAGTCAAGTCCATCGGATCAACGAAACCAAGCATAGCGTTCTCCAGTTCGTTGGGGGCGTGATGTCTGTGGAAATGCAGGCCCCGAAGCTTCTGTGGCTGAAAGAGGTGAGTACATAGGATTGAAGAGAGGGTACTCACAGGAGTGGGGGATTCCTTTTATTGTGAATCTGTACATATCAGGTGACCTTCCTAAAGTTGTTATGTTTGATTTTTTTCCAGCATCTCTCTGAGGAAGGTTGATCCCATTTTATTGATTAGGTTGTAGTTAAATCATGCCTGTTTTTACATGCTTGACTCATTGCAGGCTCTATGATAACCATTTTACACATAATCTCTTTGAATGCTAACAGCCACCCTATGGAGTAGGTGGTTTTTATTTTAGGGTATCTGGTTTTTAGGCAAGAAAACTAAAGCTCATAGAGATAAACCAACTCATTCAAAGTGACAAAATAAGTATGTGACAGAGAGAACCAGGATTTGAACCTAAAACTGGCTGACTCCAAAATCAATCCTCTTAACATCCAGTACTCTACTGAAGTTGAGAGAGGTTAATTGCCATTCCAGTTAGAAAGCAGCAGAATTGAGACTTAAGCTCAGATCTTTACTGATCAGGCCCTTCCTTTTCTATACACTTTTAGCCCCACATTTTTAATCTTTGGCCTTGTTGACATTTTAGGGTATTCCTTTCTCATCTCACCTGCACTTGAGTTTCCATGTCCTTGAATGATATGGTGATCACTGGGCAAAGCACTTGCAGGTGGTTCCCATTTCCAGATGTTAGGACTCCTTTATGAAGTGTGGAGAATGGTGATGTCAGTTTAATGGTTCCCATTAGAGATGGATGTGTGAGAAAGTTCAAGTCCTTTGGGAATCTCCGGGACTTGAAAGCCCCTAGGTGGTCTGGTGAATAGAGAATCCTTCTAATGTGATTCATTTACTGGCTCTGGGGTTTGAGGCAAACTGAGTCTTCATTTATTCAAATTGTATATAGAGACACGGGAGCTCAAGGGTGCTGAGAAGGTGTCCCAGGATTGCCACTGTGGGGCAGGTGAGGGGTAAGAAGGAAGGGCTTCAATCAAAGCAGGCTTAGCATGTTATCAGTTTTATATATTGAGCTGTTTTGTAACTTTTGATTTGAAAAAAGACTTCAGTGATTGCTAAAAATTTGAAAACACAGAGTTTCTTAGGAGCCAGGAGTTTTCAAGAATCAAATTCTGACTCTGCCGTAAACAGTTTTGTGTGTTGGGCAAAGCATTTCTCAATCCAGGCCTCAGTTTTCCCATCTATAAAATGAGAAAGTTGGATTGGATCAACTTGAAAATCCAGTGCGAACATATGCTGAAACACAAATCAGAATATGGTATTGTTCCGCACTGCTCCCACACTCTGCTTTGTGTTTTATAGACATTTGCTGGTTTAATCGTAACAAGCTCTTCCTGGTAGAGAGCATGGAAAACTGAGGCTGAGAGAGGATATATGGCCTTCTCAAACAGATGGTAGAGCCAGAATATAAACCAATGTCTATTGGGCTCCAAATCCTGGCTCTTCCATCATGTCATACCAATATCTATCTGTGAACATGCTGCTTGAAGTAGGACCAGGAACAAGGTAGTGGTGTTCTTTGAGCCAGCCTATACTTGTCGCAAGAGAAGAAATGGCTCAGAGATATCCCCATTGTTGGTGACACAGAAAGAAGACTTAATGCTGAGTTAAGCAGAGAGGATTGGTGGAGGGCCATTGGTTTATCATCAGGGCCTTATTGAGCACCTGCTGCATGGCACCCCAAGCCTGTATCCCAGGATATCTAAATGTCTGTCTGGCATGAACCTCTCAGGATTTTTACTGTCTTGCACTTGAGATCAAACTGCACAAGTACAACCCTTAGAAAATAGTTAAGTTCTAGATCACATGGCAGTGTTGGTAACCTTCTAAGAGCATCTTCTCGTAATTAATTTATTTTTAAAAATCAACTTCCTTTCAGAATTGTCTGAGTAAGGCTCTAAACATCGCCTCATTAAGTATTCAGCTACCTGAAGCTCGACCTTAAAATTGTGTGTGTGTGTGTGTGTGTGTGTGTGTGTGTGTGTGTGTAAGTATGTACAGGAATTCTTTCTGGGAATCTCTTTGGCTTTAGCGTGGTTGCAAAATCAAATTAAAGATATTTCTAAAATCGGTTTGAACATTGTTTTTTAAAGCCCTACTAGTGTGGCTGTAGTGCTTCTCAGACTTTATTGTGTAAATGAATCACCTGGTGATCGCCTTAAACTCCAGGTTCTGGTTTTGTAGCACTGGGGTAGGCCTGAGGATTTAAGAATTAGCCTATTCGACAGGTTGTACCATGATGCTCATGTTGTTAGCCTGGGGATTTAAACACCACTTTTAATTCCAAAGACTCTGCTCCCATATTCAGAAAAGCATCCACTCTTGAAGAATCAGAAAATTGTACCCTTTTTTTTCTTTTTTAAAATTTAAATGCTGTGATGGGAGACAGAGGGAAGTTTGATAGCTTCAGTAGAGCGGTTCAAGTGCATGTTCAAAATAAAAACATGAGATTCTGTGTTGTAAGTCAGTGAACTGTCATTTGTATGCTCTTTATTCATTCCTAAATTTGCCAAATCTGAACTGAGTTCTCACTGTGAACCAACTATGGTAGGCATGGGGGACAGCAACTATGGTAGGCACTGGGGACAGTAAGGACTCAGCCTTTTCCTTGAGGGGTACAAAGTCCACTGGGAACAGTGGTGGGGGAGCATAAGGAGTGGGTGGAGGAGAGACGTGGAAATAGAGTCATTAGAAGATGTACTAAACATTGCGATTTAGGAAGAGGCAAAGTGCTTTAGGAGAAAATAATTTGCTTCTTGGAGGCAAGTAGTTTGATGTGAGCCTCAAGATGTGAGTGGAGGTTTTGACAAGTAGAGAAAACAGAAAGATGATTATAGAGACCGAGACTGTGGCTCATTTATGGTATGGTAGGTAAGTCCCAAGGCAAGAGCCGGGTATGTTGACGAGTGTTGAAGGAAATGAGACTGAGTGCATAGCCTAGGTTCAACTTGTTAAGGACTTGTTTGGTGATGGAGATTGGTTGGTGGATGCCAAGCAAGGGAGGGATGTTTTGGGTAATTTTGACAGAGATGTGGAGATTGGATTAGGTATGAGAAAAATGTGTGTGAGAGAGTGAGAACCAGAGGTTTCTCATTCCTCTGGTGATAGCACTTTGATGGCTTTGCATTGCTCTTAGAATAAATGTATTGTAACATGGACCAGAAGATGGTGTGTGATATCATTTTTACCTCTTCCTCTTCCCTTACTGTGTGTCTTTCACCTCTTTGCTTGCTGTAACCCATGCACAGGGGTGAACTCAGAGTCCCTCAAACTCACCCAATTCTTTGCCACCTCAATGTCTTGTCTAAGATTTGGCAAACTATGACCTCTAGGCCAGATCTAGCCTACCCCTATCATGGGATGACTCACTGGGTTTTACACTTTGAAGTGGTTAAGAAAAAATCAAAAGAATAATATTTTGTGACTTGTAAAAATTATTTGAAAATTAAAATTTTAATGGCCACAAATACATTTTTATTGGATCACAGCTGCATTCATTGTTTCATGTATTGTTTATGGCTGCCTTTGCATTGCAATGACAGAGCTGATTAGTTGAGACAGAAACAATGTGACTTGTAAAGCAGAAAAAATATATACTGTTTAGACCTGTAGAGACAAACTTTGTTGACCACTTGTCTTGATGGCACTGTGCCTTCTGTCCAGAGTATTCTTCTCTCTACTTACTACTGTTTCTTCTTCATCAAGTCTCAACTTTATTGTTACTTTCTTAGAAAAGCCTTCATGACCCTCAAATAAACCAGAAGTCTCTTGTCTTTGCACTCTTAATTTTATTTCATTGTATCTTTCACAAATTGTAATGATATGTCAATTTGTATGATGATTGTACCCTTCAACCATTGTAATCTGCAGGAGGATCGTACCCATTTTATTCATTGCTGTGTCCCTATCCCAAATTAAATGGCCAGCACATAGTAGGTACTAAGTATATATGAATTAGGCACTGTGGAATGGAGAGGAGATAGATTCTAGATGTCTTTAGAGGGTACTGTCAGTAGGACATTAAGACTGATTAGCTCTTAGGGGTGAGTCAGATGAAGGAGTCAGAGCTGACCACTCATTTCAGTGTTGGTGTCATTTATGTGCTCCTTGTCCTTAGCCTAGAATCAGATGTTAGAGGGAGTTGGGCAGAATGTGGAGCTCTGTCTGAAGACAGATGAGATATACTGGGACCACCATAGCTCTTGGGCAAAGTCACTTGGGTCCTAGTCCTGCAATATGGAATTTTAATCGTGTCATTTTCATTTAAGGTTTATGTGTTTCAGGTTGACGTATGTCTCCTTAATAAGAATTGTCAGATAAAAGGGAAAATGCCATTTGAATTTTTCATAACCCCCAGCAGTCTGGCTTTTCCATTTGGTCTCAATGATTCTGACTCTCATCTTAATGAAGGCCAAATGTAAATTAAGCTCCGTCAGGCTAGAGCAGCTGGAGTCTCCTATCTTTATAAACATGAAACATTGCAGGGTAACAAGGTGCAGACTTCGGAAGGTCAAGAAAGTTAACGGGCTGCTGCCGATCCTGACAGCTCAATGTTAATGGAAGATCATTAACATGGCTTGTAGGGGCTACATGGAGATATTCCAATCTGTCTTTTAACTCATTTCCTCCTTTTGCCATTGTCAGCAGAGCAGAAAGCTAATCATTTTATAGTTTGAGGTTTTCGTTGTTCATTCCAAAGTTCTGGAACCAACTGGCTGGGATGCCAAAGGGTTTTGTTTATGGGTTCAGGAAGTATATCTGCCCCCTCCTTTCTTTCAACCCATGCTTCTCTACTTCTGTTTGTCTGATGACATGCTGGGAAATGAGTAAATGATTCTCTGATTGGTGCTAATATACCTTTCCTGGCATATATGTACATATCCTGGCATATGTAGATTCTGTGCTTTGCAGTAGTAAATGTTGAAAAGAAAACCTTGCTGGAGGTCAGGAAAGCCTGGTTCTTCTGGTTCTTCCTGTAAGAGAAGAGGTTTGCCACAGCTAAT